CCACCTATCTCCACATTGGTATGATATTGTCCACTTTGGGCCTAAGCCCTCATGGATTTGCTCTTGGGTTATACCCAAAAGGCCTCATACCAATGGAGATATTTGTCCATCCTTATATACCCTTGATCCTCCCCATTTCTAACCAATGTGGGACTTTGATCGCATACCCAACAATCCTTCCCTCGAACAAAGGACCACCGAGCCTCTCCTCAAACGATCATTTATCCATCCACTCTCTGCCAACCAGGATTTTTCATCCTCTACTTCTCTCTACTTCATCGTGTTGGGGTCAGGACACGTCCATGAAGCATCCGGAGAGCACTACTTGACTTGAGAGTTTTTTTCCTTGACACCAGCATAAAAGCTAAGGGATGGGAGATTGGGTTTCCTTATTAGTGGAGGTAAGGTTTTCAGTTCATTGGTTGCAGGGTTCCATAGAGCACGATGATCCCTATAAGAATAACGGTCCAGGTAGAATATCCCATTGCAAGGACCACAGATAAAGGAATTATATATGGGCCTATCACGCAGTTCTTCGTATGATAAAATTGTAGATGTTTCATCTACCAAGAATTCATACAACCCAAGTTCTCCTAATTTCGTTACGAAATACTGAGCAAGGAAAGTATCACTATCGTCATAGTTGTCATGGTAATTATTAAGATGCTTGGATATGAAAGCTTGGCTTGTAATGATCGCATACCATGACTTGCAAACGCACTTGAATTGCAGTAGAGCTTTCACCGGCAGCCATGATAGAATCTCAGTTATCAAATCTTCAGGTAATGGATCTTCGATTGCCTTTCCTTTCAACATCTCTCCCTTTTGGCTTCTGCAACCTTACATATATATATAAAAGTCAGAGATAAAATCATTGTCACCTTGCTTTTAAAATATAACTGAAAACCCTTTTGCTAACGTATTTAAGGAAAGTGTCACCCCACACAATCAATTATAATCTTCACAATTATGTCCTAGAAGTACGAAGAAGAAGAGAACGGAACGACAAAGGTACGTAATATTGTAATAACAATAAAAAAAAAGAAAGAATAAAATTGAAGTTGAAACGTGAAAAATTAATGTGTAAGGTTAAAGAAAGCAAACCTCAGACAGATTTAAGGTTGAAGGAAGCAAACCTCCGAGTTTGATAGTTAAAACAAGGCTCCCATGCCGAATACCCTAATATATAGCTTATTTTGATATTGGCAAAAGTCCTGACCCTAAAAAGTTTGTCTCAATGTCTCTCAGTTTTGGACTTTTAGTAGTAAGCCCATAAAACCATTACAGTTTAAATGAAAAATTGATGGGATGATTCTAGGGAGGCTTTCCCTCACCCGTTGGGCTCCTACCATATATATATATATTCAATCTTGTAAGATCGATGATTTTGATTCACATTAAGAAAAAAGATAATAAATAAAAATCTCAAAAGAGAGATTTGAATTAATAGGACTATTTCTTATCTTTGATCTTGTCCAATGGCTGTTTGTAATATATTGAATAATTTGTTAAAATTTGTTGAGGCTTTCACCAAACGAATAAGAAAAGGTAATTTTTCTACATGTTACCGAAAACAAGATAGGAGCCCAATGGGCCAGATTTAGCCTCTCTACAATGATTCCATCAATTTTCCATGGTTAGGGTTGCGACTTTTGCCACGTCAAAAATAAAAATAAATAAATAAATAAAAATTAATAGGGTATTCGGCATGGGAGCCTTGTTTTAACAATCAGACTCGGAGGTTTCTTTTCTTCAACTTTAAGTCTTTCGGAGGTTCGCTTTCTTGAAAATTAAACCTTAATTTTTGAGGATTCAACTTCGATTCTATCCATTTTTTTTTGGTTGTTAACTATGTTTTTTTTTTTTGTTTTGTTTGTCTTCTCACATCTGGGACATAATTGTGAAGGTTATAATTGATGATGTTGTGTATAGGAATAAGATTTCCTTAAAAACGTCAGAAAAAGGGTTTTAAGTCATATCTCAAAAGCAAGGTGCCCATAATTTTATCTCTGACTTTTTATATATATATTTTTAAGGGTTGGAGAAGCCATGGAGAAGGAGAGATGTTGAAAATCAAGGAAGATCCTTTACCTGAAGATTTGCTAAGTGAGATTCTATCATGGCTGCCGGTGAGAACTCTTTTGGAATTCAAGTGCGTTTGCATGGTATTCGATCATTACAAGCCAAGCTTTCATATCCAAGCATCTTAATAATGATTATGACAACAATAACGACAGGGATAGTTTCGTTGTCCAATATAAGGTAACGTATGCTTGCCAAAAAGTTGCGTTGTATGAGTGCTTGGTAGACGAAAGATCAGCAGTTTTATCATTCAAAGAACTACGTGATAGGCGCATATATAATTCCTTTATCTGTGGACCTTGCAATGGGATATTTTTCCTGGAACGCTATGCCTATAGGGATTATCGTGTTCTATGGAACCCTGCAACCAAGGAACTTAAAACCTTACCTCCACTAATAAGGAAACCCAACCTCCCATCCCATAATTTTTATGCTAGTGTCGATGATGTTTTTGGTTTTGGATTTGATAGAGTAACTAAAGATTACAAGGTGATTGTTATTAAAGGTTGGAGTAAATCAAATTACAAAATTCGTATACTTTATCAGTCTTCGTGTACTCATTAAGTGCTGATTATTGGAGATATTGGGGAGATTTGACACAAAAATACAAGATATTGAGCAACAATAACTGCTACATTTGTTTGAATGGAGTTTCTTACTGGTTGGAATCAGATTATGATCGTGGGAAAATTTATCACGAAGCCATCATTTCTTTTGATATGGCTACTGATTTGATCCAAGATGTAGAGCTACCAAACTATGATAAGTCCGCTAGGAAAACTGCTCTTGCTGTATACAATGACTCCCTTGCATTGCTTGCTAATCATCATACGCATTGCTTGCTAATCATCATACCAAGCATTTTATTGAGATATGGACGCTGAATGAGGGGTGTTGGACAAAAAGATTCACTGTTGGGACTAGTTCATAAGGACCGGTATCAGCAATTGCGCACTGGAAGAATGATAAGTTTATTTTTGAATGCGGCCCTTGGAAGGAGCTAACCTTGTTTGACCCTATTACCAAAGAAATAACTGAGCTTGGATATGCACGAAGTATATTGGTTCGTGCCAAGGAATTTTCGTTTACCGGGAGAGCGTAGTCTCATTCAAGGATAGAAATGGGTCACAGGAACAGAGGGAAGCTAAAGCACTAGCATAAAGCTGAAGAAAGCATCTACTGGTATGAAATAGTTCAGAGTTTCTCAAGTTTAAATGTCATTGACATAGAGATTGAGAGTATTTTTCCCCGTATATGTTCCTATTGTTTTGTTCTTTTTCATAGAATACGATTATTTCTTTCAATTTAAGGTTTGAAAAATAATTTAATTAAAAAACTGTTTTCAAAAATAAAAGAACGGTTGTAAATAGAATTTCTCTGAATAGATAGTAGGTATTGAGGGAATAAAAGGTCGATTAAGAATTTAAAAAATATTAATATTATCTAATATTAAAGTTGTTCCGGGGCACCACTTAATTTCTTTGAGTTAGGCACAACTTCTTTTGACCCAGGGCACTACATGTTCTGTGTCCAGTCCTTGTGTTTTAATCCCATCTCCCTCCTTTTGATTCCATTACTCAACAATTCCAAAATGCAAAATACAATTCATGTCGGGATTAAATATTAATTAAAATTATCTTAACATTAAATTAAATATTATGATTGTGAAATGTAATATTATTATCATATTGAAACATGTAAAATTATATTATTTCATCAAAATATTTTACTACAATTATTTATTTTAATTATGTGTATTAATTTTCGAAGTTGTTCTAATAATGGTCAAAGCAATCTCAAAAACAAGAAGCCAACAAACATAAATCATGTAGTCATGTTCTATCAAGGATGGGCGTTATTTTATCGATCAAGTGAGGAAATGCTACGAGATTCCGTCGTCGATGATTTGGTTTTATTTTTGTTGACATTAAAATATTAATAGTATTATTTATTTATTGTTATTAATATTGTTGTATTATTATTATTATTATTTATAAAATAAGATGACCAAAAAAAATGATGAAAATTAACAACAAAGAAATAAAAGAATAAACTAATAAATCATAATTTGGACAATTGGCAAATTTCGCTAAAAAACGCGAGCTCAAACAGTCGGATGGAAATTCGTCAATTTCCTTTCTTCCTCTTTTTTTTTTTTTTTCACTTCACTATTTTTCTTTTCTCTTTCAAATTCTACCTGATTTTTTTAATTACAAAATAAAATTAAAAAATCAATAACAATTTTATAAATAAATAAAATAAAATAGATGGGCTGGGTCGAGGCGAGATCCTCGGGTTAGGTGATGGGCCAAAACACAGACTTGGGGGTGTAAAATGGTGTCATTTAATCACTATTTAAATTATTTTTTTTAGACTTTCTCTGTTTTTTTTTTTTTGACTTCCACAAGAGTGAGTGTAAATGTGGATGAGATCTTCGCAAGAGGGATCTTGGATCTTCTGCAGATGCGACGCTCTTCCTATGGTATCCAAAATTCATGGGAGACTTAGCTCTTGGAAAGGCAAGCTATTGTCCATGGTTCAGAGAGCTGTTTTAATTAAAAATGTGTTAATTGCCATTCCTCTCTCTTTTCTCTCTTCAAACCAAGTGTTCGAACAAAAAATAAAGATGAACGCATAAAAAGTTGTTTACGAATTTCTGATATATTATATAATAGAGTAATTTAATTATTTTATTTAATTAAAAAAAATTATTGGCTAATTTAATTATTTTATTTAATTAAAAAATTCTACATTGACTCCCTTTTCCTTGCGTTAAATTTATTCAAATCCCTCGGGAATTTGTTTCGACCTTCCATGTAAGTTAGTTATTTTAGTATGGCCATATTATTTTTATCTAACTAAAATTACCATGGAGTCTTTGGTTCCTAGTTGGAAAATGAGCTCTTAGCTAACTAAAATTACTGGGTAAAAGATGATAATAATATTAATTAATTATTTCATACTTCAGAACTGACAAGTTACAACCTTTGAAATCAGCTTACTTATCATGACATGACATTACTGTGGAAACCTTAATAAACACATCACATCGATTTATTTAGGAAGTAAAACGACTTATTAAGGCTCTAAAATAAAAGCAAATAACTATAAAACGCATCGGTTTATCATTGACTTAGATTTCACATGTCCAATAGACCGTCACTGTAACGTAATTCCCATCTTCTCCTTGAATTTGCTTGAAGGATGTACCGGACATTTGAGCTGGGAACTCTACAGCGCCTTTTGCAATCTCATCGTCACCAGAAAATGTATCGTGATCATACAAACTTGCTTTAACTATTAGAGAACCGTTCAGTGGCACCGCAACAACAGGTCTTAACAATGGAATGGTCTGCCAACGCCTTACATCAACGTAGTCATCAGATGATCTGTTGAACAGCAAACATGTCGTTTTAGGATCCACCCAATTGTCATAATGGGCATAAACTTGTCCATAAACATTGACTGTACTTTCCCCTCCTTCTTCTATAGTAACGGTTATTCTCGCTGCCACAGCATTTCTCAGCACTGCATAATTGACTGTCACAGAACCTCTATTGCCAACTAATTCTTGAAATATGGGTTTGTCATAAACATTGCCGATCTCGGAAGCATCCCATGAGATGTCTTTATTGATAATTTCATCGTCCCCAGACCATGTGTCTTTATCAGTGAGAAGCAATTTGATGGTAAAGTTCCCGACGGCAAGGATGGATTGAGATGGTCCAGTTAGCGAAGCATTTTCACTTGGCTTGATGGATTCTGGGTTGCTGCTTGTGCGGTTGTAGATGTACTCTATATTCAGTCCATCGTAGACTGTGATTGTGCCATATAGTTGCCCGGGATCCTCTCCATCTATGTTATCAATGCGCACCGAGAACACTTCCACAAGTGGTAGCCCCAAAAAGCATTGTCCTTCATCAAAGGTCATGCTTGGGAACCTTTTTGGTCCACTGTGCCTGAAGCAAAGTCCCAACAAGATGCCAAGTATTGCTGCAGCTTGGGAAATAGTTCTTATTTCCCTGTTATCTGGTGGAAGCCGCACGACATTTCTTCGAAGTTGAAACGATTCACCTGGGTAAGCATCAGCACGCAACAAAGCTGCAGAGAAAGCGTCCCAAGCACGAACTAAGGTAGTAATCCAAGGTTGGATCTGGCCTTCTCGGTTACGATTGTCATAATTATTGTAATCATCAGAGCTAGTACCATGCGAATTGTCGAAATTGGTAGCCATATAGTTGGATATAGGAATTAGTCTGGTTGATTCGCAGATCATCATAATCACCCCAATCAGATAACGTGCCCTAATATTCCAGGTTGTCGATGTAGCAAGCTGATTTATACCGTACCCTAGGTTGTAGAAGCCAACTCTTACTTCCTCCATAGTCAGGCCAGCAACATTGAGTAACCTATTGTAGCTACCATTGAAGCCTAGGAATTCGGTTCCCTGTTCTCGAATTAGATGCTCACCGGTTTCGTTGTTGAACTCCAACCACTGCCCGTTTTCCATCTGGTAGCCAATCAAGTACAGGTTATCCATTCGCAACCTGAACCTCACAGAGTGATCGTTGGTTCGTATTACCAAATCGAAGAATCGAGTGGGTGGCTCCTCTTGAACAGCAAGTGCAGGACGGTTGTGGGAAAATCTCACTCCCAATCGATCACGCAGTTTCTCAATGAAATCTCGATAACCTCCCCTGGTGCTGGTTTGAACATTGATCTCCATCTCAAACTCCACCGGCATTGTCTTTGATCAAATTGCTTGTGCAATGATATAAAGTTCAATCAGTTGCAATTTACAGCCAAGACAAAAGAAGTCAATGATAGTTCTAACCCAGATGTAACAATTAAAAGAACTGGAGAGAGCAGGACATCACAAGGTACGTAATAAACTTCACATTGTCGAACTCGGAACCATAAAAACAAATTAACAATACAACGTAGGTGTTACAAGAATATTACACTGAAAAGTACCTTGGATAAATCGCTTTTCGATTTGCTTAGTCGAATCCGTTGGGTGCTGAATCTCCTCAAGCTATGCAGTTTCTGTAATGGTATTGGAACGTATATATAGACTGAAAAACTAGGAATAGAAAGCGTGTGGAGTAATTTCTCATACAATGATTTATTCTTCTCATTCACATGCAGAAACAGTGTCTTTTGGACCACATACATCTAGAATAATGATAAATACAAGCGTGATTTGGAAAATAGTGCCAATTATCAATATCAAAAAATATATTCTGATAGAAAAACTCACAAGTACTATGTGCGAGCAGGGAATATATTCCATTCAATGGATATACTTCACTGTATTGGGTCAATAAACATACGTTCGTGTCCTTATTGGATTGCATTATTGCACGTTTTTCTTTCAGTATGATAGATTTTTCTACCATTATCAAGAAAATATATTGAAATAGAAAACTTCACAGCTACTATATGCGAATTATATGGAGTACTAAATTTCTAAAGCCTATATTCCACCTTTGAAGAAATCTTTTTTCTTTCGAAAACACCTTCCAAAACACTCTCACTTCCCTCACGAGTCGAGGTTTGATCATATGGAATATTTTTCGTTCATCAATTTATATGAAAAATACATGATGAGTTAGGTTTTTTGTTTTTTTTTAAAAAAAAACTCTAACTCTTTAAGGGTGTATAATCCATATTATAGGAAATTACATAATATAGAATATGTATATAATTAGAAACGGTTGAAAGACTTGTTATTGTTTTGTAATCTTTATATTAACTATTATATACTAATTAACTTATATAAATAAAAAAGATTAGCTAACTAGTTTGGTTAAACCTTTTATGATGCTCAACTTAGTAGCAGAGCTCTAAATACATTAATTTTTTTTTCTTTCTCTCCAATGGAGTCCACTCTTATTAGTCCCTATGTCATCAACCACCTGCAATCGTTTTCTTCTCCACCACCGGTGCAGATCTTTGCTTCTTCCTCTGTTTTGGACTCATCCATTGCTATTGTTGTGACTACTATTGCCTTTGGAGGCTTCTATTGTGACAATTGTTCCTCTTTCCAACACTTAACACATTAATCTTAAAACACCAATTATTTTTATTGGAATATATAGATGAAGCCGTATCTTTAGGGACAAGGGGTTTTTCATTTTGTTAATGGCGCTTTGTTGTGTCCTTCTCCTCACATGGCCATTATCAATGGCTCCTCCTCACATGGCCATTATCAATGGCTCTTATCTTGAGGTTAATCCCTATTTTCTTCATTAGAAACAACAAGATCAACTTATTCTGATTGCTCTCCTTTCTCCTCTTTCAATAAATGTATAATATCTTGTTGTTGATTGTCAAACCTTGCATTGTGTTTAGCGTACTTTAAGCAAACACTTGCTTTTCCATCCACTTCTCATATTATGCAACTTCATGTCTCCTTTCAAGATTTTCATCAAAGTGATGATTCAGTCACCATATATATATAATGAGTAAAGACATTATTTAATGAATTAGTAGTAGCTAGTCGACCGATTTTGCTTATAGATTTTAATAGATATGTGTTTCGTAGACTTCAATAAGAGTTTAGGGATTTGGTGACTAGCCTTTCGACAAGGGCATATCCTATTTCATATACAGACCTTCAAAGTCATTTTCTTACTTATGAGTTTCTTCAGAAGAGCTCTTTTCAATCCATGGGTGTTGCTGCCATTGCTTCTTTGTTGTCTATGCTAGCTTAACCACTATCAGCTCTTATTGCACAATGCCAACCCCTTAGTTCTTTTAACAATAAGAATAATAACAACCGTGGGTAAGGGGTGTTTTCATGGTGGCTGGCGGCACAACAACAATAGTCACAATAGCCACTCATATGTTAAATAGTTCTTTTAATAATGACTAGAGGCAAGGTAATTGGAAACATAACAAAAGGAGTAATGACATCCAACGATGGTCCAATACACACCTTTTAGGGTAGAATGTCAAGTGTTAGCTTTGCTATTACTTTGGTCATTCTATGCCTTAATGCTTTTAACTTCACATTTGTGAACAATAGCCTAAAGCCAATCTTGCACTCAGCAATGCCTCCTCGATGAACTTTGTGGATTGGTTTCTGAATACCAATCCGAATCAATATGTTACTCTTAATCTTGCAATTTTAATCGAGTCTAAACCCTATCTTACAATGATCACTTGTATTTTGGTGATGGTAAGAGCCTTTCCATATCTAATATTGGACATACTACATTACATACACTAAAATATAGTTTTACCTTATCTAATGTAGTTCATTATTAAGCCATTACTTTCTATTCATAATTTTTATCTTGATAATAATATCTATTTTAAATTTCACAAGTTTGTATTTTATGTCAAGGATCTCAACACCAAGGTATTCCTCATTTATAGTTAGAATAACAATGGTTTCTATGTTCTATTTAAGTCTTCCTCCATGTCAATTCCTTAAGCTTACTAGTCTCCTCGTGTATTTGCTTTTGTTGATATCTGACATTGTGGATTGGGTCATCCTACTTCCCGTGTTTTCATTTATTTAGTATCAAGTAATAAACTTTCTTGTAACTCTAGATGTTCAACTTTTTAATGTCAAGCATGTCCATTAGGAAAGTCGCTATATTTGTCGTTGTGACCTATGAGTCATAAAATATCTACTCCACTTGATTTAATTTTAAGTGATGTCTAGGGCCCTACTCCTTTTCTTTTTTTTATTCTGATGGGTTTTGTTATTTGTTGATGCGTATAAAAAATATATCTGGTATTATTCTATTATTGCAAAATCTAATGTATTTTCTATTTTCCATCGTTTTCAAATTTTTGTTGAACGAAAATTTTTGTGAAAACATAAATTTATTTAGATTGATTAAGGTGGCAAAAACCATAAGTTAAATACTTTCTTTCAGACTATCAGTATTCATTATCGTTTAATTTTTCCTCACATTCATGAACAAAATGGCATTATTAAACATTATCATCGACATACTATTGAAACTAGTTTTACTTTCATCGAACAATGTAAAGCCCCATTACAATTCTAGAATTATGCGTTTGAATCTTTGGTGTATTTTGTCAATCATATGCCTATTTTTTTCTTTGAAAATAAGTCCTCAATTAAGTTTCTTTTTCACCTTACTCTTGATTATGATTTTCTATGTACATTAGAGTGTCTTTGCTTTCCATACTTGCTTCCATATCATGCTCATAAGTTGGATTTTTGTTTTTCTCCATGTGTGTTCTTAGGTTATAGTTCCTCTCATCTTGATTATCGTTATCTTGATCTCATATCTCAACGCATTTATATTTCTTGTCATGTTTGTTTTTATAAACATGTTTTTCCTTTTGACAAATCTGCACGGCTATCACACCCCCCCAAACATCTCTCCACATCATATTCGTACTACCCATTTGCCTAACTTGCTAAATTCTCCACTTTTCACTCCTTTATGCTTGTAACCTTTCTATCACCTATATTGTGTACCATTTCTGCCACTTTAAGACAAACCAACAGCCTATCCTTATATCATTATACACTTGTTTATTTCATGATCAGTATCCAGATACAAGTTCTCCCACTTTTCTAGGTCCAATACTGTTGGTACTCCTGATTTTGTTATTGGTTCACTTGGGTCTATTATTGTTAGTATAGTCTCTCAATCTAAATCTCCTACTGGGTTGAGTTTGGTTATTGACCTCTCCTACTATCCTTTACGACAATATTGAATTTGGTTGCTGACCTCTCCTACTATCCTTTACAACAATATACAAGTTTGGCCTTACCTCCCTCAAGTTTTGTGGTTTGTCGCCATCCTATGGTTCTTCTTCCACAACTATAAAGACAATAAATTTGATAGCCTATTTGGCTTTTTCTTTCAGCCCTATCTCTAGGTATTCTCTCCTCTTGTTTATGAATCGATTATGGTTTTTTTATGCTAAAAGGGAATTAGGCTTGGCATGAGGCTATGACAAATGAAATTTAAGCACTACGTTTCAACGACACTTGATCTATGATTCCTTTATATCATTCAATAAATATTATTACTAGTTGTTAGATGTATAACATCAAACATTATGCAGATGAAAGCCTTGGGTGCTATAAATCTCGGTTAGTTACTAGAGGCTTTACTCAAAAAGAAGGTGTTGATTTTTCAGAGACTTTTAGTCCTATCATTAAATAAGCCACTATTCGGTTGGTTTTCTCCATTTCTGTTTCATATGGTTGGAAGATTAATGAACTTGATATTCGTAATGCCTTTCTTAAAGAGACCTTTGAAAAAGAGTTATACATGCAGAAACCTCTAGGTTATGTTGATTCTATTCTTTCCTCTTGTTATAACCCAATTTTGGATTCACTAATTTTTTTTTTATCTTATTATTCATGACAAAAAAAATATATAATAAATAAAAAAAAAGAAAAAAAAAAGAAAAAAAAATGAGTTTTAGAACGTTTCGGGTCAAAACCGTCATTTTCTGTCAAAACCGAGTCCATCGGGTCAATACGGGTCCCACCATGTCGACCACAATGAAAAATGAGTTTCGAGCTGTTTCGGGTCAAAACCGTCATTTTCTATCAAAACCGAGTCCATCGGGTTCAAAACCGTTATTTTCTGTCAAAACCGAGTCCATCGGGTCAATACGGGTCCCACCATGTCATTTTCTGTCAAAACCGAGTCCACCAGGTCAATACGGGTTAAACGATGTCGACCGGGATGAAAAATATGTTTCGGGCTGTTTCGGGTCAAAACCGTCATTTTCGGTCAAAACCGAGTCCACCGGGTCAATACGGGTCCCACCATGTCGACCGGGATGAAAAATGAGTTTCGGGCTGTTTCGGGTCAAAACCGTCATTTTCGGTCAAAACCGAGTCCACCGGGTCAATACGGGTCCCACCATGTCGACCGGGATGAAAAATGAGTTTCGGGCTGTTTCGGGTCAAAACCGTCATTTTCGGTCAAAATCGAGTTCACCGGGTTAATACGGGTCCCACCATGTCGACCGCGATAAAAAATGAGTTTCGGACTATTTTGGTCAAAACTAGTATTTTTGGTCAAAAAAAACAACCCAGTCCACCGAGTTGATACCCGTATAAAAAAAAAAATGTAATTTAAAATTGATTTTTTAGCAGTGAAAAACTTTTTATAATACTAATTTGAATTTTTAATTTTTATTCCTATAAATAAATATTATTATTATTATTTAGTATT